GTGAAGCTTCCCTGGAGAATGTGACCATCCCAGTGCCTTCCTGTGCTCGGCCTCAGTTTGTCATCGGCTTCAGTTTCTCATGGTCAGAAACTCTTCCTGGGGAGCAGATTCATAGTCCTCCCTGCTCCAGGAGGCAGGGGTCAGTGCAGAGCCTGTGGGGGAAACCAGGACGCAAGGACTGGACACCCAATACCAGGGGAGGGGTCCCCAGTACAGGAACCTGCTGAGTGAATGAAGTGACTCTGGTCTCGGCAAGATGAAGACTTTCTGCCCTGGGCCCCTCCGGCATCTTCCCTCACTCAGAAACTGGAATCAGCTTGTAAACTCGGAGGGTGGAGGAGGAGCGAGGGGGGTTTACATTTTCAAGGAGGGTCAAGTCCCGTGTTGGGCAGATGAGGCCAACTGATTCCAGGTGTTAGCAAGCTACCCGAAGGGGTGACTGCTGCAGAGGAAGGGTGGCTGCCCTGGCTAAAGACAGCCTCTTGCCCTGCCCAGCCACCAACACACTGCCCGTCCCGCCCAGAAGCTCCATCAAACACCCCACTGTATTTAGCGGGACAAATATTAATAGGTGACCAGAGGAATGAAGGGAAATTGCCATAGCCCCACCCCCAGGGACGAGGGTGGTGACACGTGCCTCACTGCCCACACTGTCTTCTAACTGGTTTTTGTTGACTTTTTGTGGCCAACCATTCAGTTCGGTCTTCCGCTTAGAACTTTGTAGTTCTGCTTCCGGAACATCCTTTTCTGCATCCTCGGGAGATAGTCCTAGCGCGGAATTGAGGGCTCTGCCAGGGGCCCCTCTGGCCCCCTTCCCACCTCTGCTGGGCACAGGGTTTAACGAGACTTGTCGCTGCCCCCGGGCAGCATGGCCTGTTCCCAGGCTGCTCGACTGGGTCCACAGCAAGTCTGCCCATGCTCTCCCGACTCCTCGCGTTAAGACCTCCAGACGGGGCCCCTCTCGTCCCCACCGTCCTGGCCACGTTCACTTCCAGCGCCGGCTCATGTTCATGCCCCGTGAAGGAGCTGACTTCCGTCTCTCCCTCTGAGACCGACGTCCACCGCATTCCGTCTCTCCCTCTGAGACAGACGTCCGCCGCATTCCGTCTCTCCCTCTGAGACTGACGTCCGCCGCATTCCGTCTCTCCCTCTGAGACTGACGTCCGTCCCAGCCCTTCCATGGACACAGCCAGGTGCGTGCCGGGTCAGTGCCCTCTGTGAGATGGCGGGGAGGAGGCAGAAGAGGCACGCAGAGACAGAGCACGCTGGCCGGCTGAGCCCTGGGGCCTGACCATCCACTCAGCTCACACTCCCCCTCAGACCCCCAGACCTTGCTGGGGACAAGGGGACCAAGAGACAGAGCAGCCCAGCTGGGGAGTCACCCATGTCCAGGCTGCCCTGCCTGAACCCTGGGGTCTCCTCCCACAGCCAGGCGCCAGCAGCAGCCCCTGGCTCCTCTGCGCACCGCCCCTCCAGCCTGTGTCACCAAAAATCGTCCATTGATCCAGGCTTAAAATAACCCCTGGCATCTGCAGCAAGCCGAGCCCCACGGGGCGGGCAAAGGAGTCTCGTCTCTGCATCTGAAGGGCACCCGCCCCGCCCCCCAGTTCCAAGTGCTGGCAGCGTGAGTGTGCGGGTGTCTGAGTGCACTCAGAGGGTGAGCGAGAGCAGGTGTGCGGCCAGGGTGGCTGTGGGGCCTGCGCCGCCCTGCATGTGTGCACATGCGTGTGTCAGTGTGTGGGCTGGGCGTTCACTCCGCCCCGTTGAGTCCCTGTCTGGTGTCCAGCTCAGGTGTGCAAAGGCTCAGGGTTCTCAGTGGTGGTGGGCATTAGGAAAGCCTGTGCTGGCCCTCAGTGTCCCCACTTGCCATGATGCATGACCGGTCTCCCTGGCCCAGGGCCAGGGAGTGGGCATTTCCTAGAAGGAAACTCAAGAGAGAGGAAGTGACCGCTGCTGTAACTGTCACACACTGGGACGGGCCAGGGACTGGGCTGCAGCCTGCCCTGTGAGCTCCACCTGAGCCCTGCCTCCTGGCCAGCGCAGTGCAGAGGACAGTTGGAGAAGGTCAGCTCGAGCCCAGAGAGGCGGCTCCTACACCCTGAGCCGCCTCACACACCCATGACTGTTCCCTCTTGGAAGGCTTGTCCAGCCCCTCAGGCTGGTCTCAGAGAAAGACTAAGTAGGGTGGAGTTCCTGCCCTAAAAGGGCCAGTCAGCCTTCTTAGGCCTGGGTTTTCTCACCTGCAAGATGGCCGCTAGCTCCTCTGGCAGTCTCCCCCCTATCAGGGTCACCCAGGTCCTCAGCTC